ACTCGTATCAGACAAAGTTTCTGGCAAATGTAATGTTATTTGTTATTTATCTCATTATAGAGTTTTTAAACATTTTATCCTGTACATGTGGGCCGCCCACTGTTACTGCGATTGTGTTTACTGTAATTTTATTTTGTTACTGTATTCATATGTTTTTTTAATGTAATTTTGATGATGTTGCTTGTTGTTTATGTTTTGGTTTTATTTTGCTGCAATATGTTGTCCAGGCTTGGCCTCATGTAAGCCGCTCCGAGTCCCCATTGGGGAGATGGTGGCAGGGTATAAATAAAGATTATTATTATTATATAATAATTTGCATAGCTAAGAAGAAATTTGATGTATCTGGGAGCGGCAAGATGGGGGAGGAAGAGAAGCTTTGTCATTTTCAAGCAGTAGGTGAAGCACACACAAAGCAGACATGATCTTACCTGGGGATACCAAGTGTGACATTCATTTCTCCTCTTCCAGCAAAGTGAAATGTGTTCAGAGTCATCTGTGTGGAGGGTTCCCCAATACTTTGGGCTGCAAGGAGACCCACGGCTTCTCCTGGATCACAGAGCGATTGTTGCCACTTTAAATGCAGCAAGTGAATTGTGGGAGTTGAAGCCCACCACAGCTGGAGGGCCAAAGGTTCCCGACCCCTGGTATAATACATTCATAAGATGCATTTTTGGATGAAATGAGTGGACGAGTGTGACAGGGGTCCTATTTGCACCCACTAAGCAGACCATACTCCCCAATTCAACCAAATGTAACCTATAGGTAGAGTACAACCTCCATATCTGCAGGGGGACATGTATCTGAATTTACTGTGGAAACAGGAAACTATGGATAATAGTGAAACAGGAAGTTATCAGACTGGCTCTGAAGGACCTAGAAGATTCCTAGAGAGGTATCTTCTCTAAGAATGTGCTAGGTTCTCCAACACAACTTTATGATTTTCTTGGGAAGAGGTATACCATAGTTACCTGGAGGATCTAGAACAGGGGTCCTCAAACTTGTTAAACAGAGGGCCCAGTCACAGTTCCTCAAACTGTTGGAGGGCCGGATTATAATTTGAAGAAAACATGAATGAATTCCTATGAACACTGCACATATCTTATTTGTAGTTCAAAAAACACTTAAAAATAATGCAATAATTAAAATGAAGAATAATATTAACAAATATAAACTTATTAGTATTTCAATGGGAAGTGTGGGCCTGCTTTTGGCTGATGGGATAAGATTGCTATTGTTGTCGTATGCTTTCAAGTCATTTCAGACTTCGGTTGACCCTGAGCGCCCGTACCTTGGGAAGTCTGATCTGGCCACAGTGTTCCACGCTCTTGTTACATCCCGGATAGATTACTGCAACGCACTCTACGTGGGGTTGCCTTTGAAGACTGTTCGGAAATTTCAATTAGTCCAGCGGGCGGCAGCCAGATTACTCACCGGAGCGTCATACAGGGAGCATACCACCTCTGCTATGTCAGCTCCACTGGCTGCCGATCCAGTTCCGAACACAATTCAAAGACCTACAAAACCCTATACGGTTCTGGCCCAGCGTATCTGTCCGAACGCATCTCCTTCTACGTCCCGCCTCGGAGTTTAAGATCTTCTGGGGGGGCCCTGCTCTCGGCTCCACCTCTATCACAAGTGAGGTTGGTGGGGACGAGGAGCAGGGCCTTCTCGGTGGTGGCTCCTCACCTGTGGAATTCACTCCCCGCGGAAATTAGGACATTGACATCCCTCCTTTCCTTTAGAAGGAAATTAAAAACATGGATCTGGGATCAGGCTTTTGGGTAGTCTGGCAAAGGACAAAGGACAATAGACAAAGGACAAGCGACGACTAGACTTGATGGATTTGACAGACTCTGAGCTGAAATCGTTGAGCACTAGACTGATTTTATGGATTATGATGTATAATGGAATGCTTTAATTGTTTTAATTACTTCTTATATATGTTTTATTTTTATCTTATTGTTGTGCTGGCATCAAATTGTGCCTTTTGTAAGCTGCCCTGAGTCCCCCCTCGGGGGTTGAGAAGGGCGGGGTAGAAGTGCAATAAATAAATAAATAAATAAATAAATAAATAAATAAATGAGCGAAGCCGGGTAAATGACCTTGGAGGGCCGTATTCGGCCCTCCGGAGTTAGTTTGAGGACCCCTGATCTAGAAAATTCCAAGAGAGGACATTTTTGTCAGATGCAGGTAGGAAAAACCACAGACACTGTTGATATAGTGCTACAACACAACACTAAAACGTTTCTGTCTTGCTAGCCTGCATTCACTATCCTGCCAATGCTGAAAAAAATCCAGAGGGGCAGGAGAAAAAAAAAACAGCTCTGATTGGATGTAAAAAGGCTTTGAAAAAGAAGCTTCTCTGTCACTGGCTTTGTTAACAGAGGTATGTTTGTATATTGTTTCAAGCGTTGAGAGGCAAACAGCCTTGTGAATCTCTGTATTAACTTGGAGATACCAACATGTATATGCTAAACCAGCCTTTTGAAAATTTAGGATTAGTATTGTAATTGTATTCTATCAATGAATCTAAGGAAATGGATGTAAGCCAATGACTAAGTAAAGCTTTAGTCTTAAAGGTGGCTCAATACTCCTGTTTTTCTTCTTCTCCACTTCTTTTTACAACTGATTTTTTCCAAATCAACCAAGGTTTCTGTTGAGATTCTGCAACAGGATTTTCTCATGTCAAATAACAGAGACCCAAGGTACTATTCAATAAGTGTGTCAATCTGGGCCCCAACTAAGAAAGAAATGCCTATACTAAAAATGATTACCTCTGAGAAGAAAGTTCAGATCTGCCGCAGCTGTGGTCATTCTGGGTGTCCCACTCTCCAGTAAAATTCTCTACTTTATTTTCAAATGTTTCTGATACAGAGCCAAAATGGATGTCTGGTCGCCAGACGGAAAGGCAAGGATCAGGGCATTTTGTTGTCTTTTTCAGATACTTCCCCCGACTCTTCTCATTGAGTTCATACCACATCTTCAACAACTGAAATTGACAACAGAATTTTAAAAGAGCAAAATAAGATCCTTTTTTTCCTCTCAGAAGTATTCTATCACAGTTCTAAGACCTGAATGTATAAAGATCTGCTTTTACTATTGGACATACAGTTTGTAAGCAACTAATTTTATGATTTAATGTGGTTTAATAGTTTTACGTCATAGTTATATGTTATTGTTATGTTATTGTCCCCAGAGTATATTCCCCACCTGTATGAAGGTCTATATTTATGACCCCGTTCCTTTACGAGTTTCTCCCCCACAAACAATCTGCTCATCCTGATTTTAGTATTTTTAGTATCTTAGTTTTTATCTTGCACATGCGGCCCACTCATTGTTATGTTATTTTATTTTACTGTGTATGATTTTGCTTTATCGTCTTTGTACTCATATGTTGTATGTATTTTACTGTGTTGTTATTGTGTTTTGGTTTTACTTTATTGTAATATGCTGTTGGGCTTGGCCTCATGTAAGCCGCCCTGAGTCCCCATTGAGGAGATGGTGGTGGGGTATTAAATAAACTTTATTATCATCATCATCATCAATATTAATTGTTGATTTTTTGTTTTGGTTTTTCACATGTATGTTTGGTATTAAATTTTTGCTGTGACTATGTTGGAAACTGCTTAGAGTCCCCTCAAGGGTGAGAAAAGTGATATATAAATACAGTAAATAAACAAAGAAATAAATAATTTTCCTGAAAATTACAGAACAGTTTAATTCCCCATAAACTTTACATCTGTGAATTCAGGTACAAATTTTTCATTGCTTTTGGAATAACCTGTAGAGTTGCAGGATCTCGGCCGTATACATGGTCTCCTGTAGGGATCTGTGCTCTTATACCAGCCGACTTTTTCCGACAGAACTGCAGAAAGCCCCCTTCTCTTTGCAATGGCATCTGATGCTTGGCTTGCCATCTCTTGATGCATCTGAAGTGTCCATTTGTTTGCTCAGGGTCCATTCTTGACAGAATTTCATCAAAATGCTTGGATTTCTCTATCACCTATGAGAATCGTACAAAATCAACCAAGAATTTTCGATAGAAAGATCAACAAGAATCAGTCTCCAGCAAGGGACTCTGCTTACCTTGGAACAGGACATATTTATAAGGGAAAGGCTGGGTTTACTTTGCCTAAAACTAGGGCACCTTGTACAATTGAAGTTGTAGCCCTACTACTACTACTACTACTACTACTACTACTACTACTGTAGGACCTTTTTAACTTAGCCAAATCAGCTTCACAAAGAGCAATTGTCACATCCATTTCATGCATTCTGGATATGGTTCTGTAGAGATTCAATGCAGGATAAATGACTGATTATAGGAAGAACATGGGCGATGTTTCGATCCAATTCTGACCAAAGTGTTCCAAGTAAGTTGCCTCCTATTTGTCAGAAGCGAGATCAACACAAATCCCTGGACCAATTGATGGTAACAAGTTAGGAAATGGGAGAAAGTAGGCTGCTCAAAACAAAACACGAAGTAGGGCTAACTGCCAATATACACCAAAATCAGCTTATAACTTCTAAGTAAAAGAGGAGACACTGATCTAGAAAGGGAATGTGTATTATTGTCAGGAGTCAATTTCTGACGGCATGAAGACATCACAAATTCCCTCTGTGACATCTTGACTGAATCATCCTGGCTGCCACAATTCTCTCTCTGTGACATTTTGAAGCCAACAGAGAGTGCTGGAAACCTTGTATTGGAACTTGTGAAGCAACAAGCTCTAATAAGGAAACTGAGAAGAGGGGGGGAGTTGGGCAGGAAAGGTGTATAAAAGGAAGTGGTGGTGGGAAAAAGTCAGTAGTGTCTTTCTTTGCTGCAGAGATACAAGCAATATATCAATATCAAAGCAAAACCGGCTTGTGAGTGGTCATTTAATATTGCTATATCGATCCTACAATCTTACAATTATGTGTGTAACTGATTAAGATGTTCTCTTGAACATTCCTTTGAAGGAACTTTTTTGAAAGGCAAGAGACATTTACAAAAATACAATGACGCATCAGCTCTGCAATAATTCCTTTTGTATTTTACACAGACCCTCTTCCTGAAAGAATATGTCGTACATGCAACATTACAAAAGCTAGTGGATTCAAATGTGGAGTTTGTTTCTAAAAGGTACCAAATCCATCTGAACCAATTTCACAGAAATTAAAGAAAACGTGCTGAGGATATGCATTATTTTGCTATAAAATGCAATTTTCCAAGCCCTGTGCCAAAGCCATTCAATACATTTTGATAGTTTTGATCTGTATGCATCCTACTCCTAGCCAACAATGAGCTGCCACCTATAACACATTGTTTGATGTATTTATTTATTTATTTATTTTGGATTTGGTACTTTTTGGAAACGAACTTCGCGAATGAGGTGATACATCAGAAGAAGCAGGTGGACAAAGGATGAAGTCTTCTGCCTCCATCTCTAATGTGTTCTGCTGAAGGCAGCCTCAAGTTAGTATTTTATTACTTGATTTTGTTAAGAAACATTTTATTATTTCAAAGATGTATATCTAGAAGAAGATAATGCTTCACATTCCTACCTTGTGGTTTTCTGCAATGAAAGGAAACTGCTTGGGTTGTAAGAACTGTGTCTTGGGGATATCTAACCCATCTTCTCCGTAGAGAAACTGAACTATGCTGCCATCGCTGTCTCGCACAGTCAGGTCATAATGGACGATCAGACCTTCCAAATGTTTTATGATACACCTGTGGGCAGATTAGCACATGTTAGTGAAGGAACATAAGAGCCCTTGGTGGCGCAATGGGTTAAACCCTTGTGCCAGAAGGACTGAAGATCGACAGATAAGAGGTTCAAATCAAGGGAGAGCATGGATAAGCTCCCTGTCAGCTCCAGCTCCCCATGTGAGGACATGAAGAAGCCTCCCATAAGGATAGTAAAACATCAAAACATCTGGGGGTCTACTGGGCAATGTCCTTGCAGATGGCCAATTTTCTCACATCAGAAGCAACTTGCAGTTTCTCAAGCCACTCCTGACATAAAAAAGTGAAGGACCATATTGGATATATGACATGTAGTCTTGTTCAAATAAATATTAAAAACCTCACAAGCCAATGTCTTGAAAAGTGTGACCAGGTTGTGGTGCAGCTGGTTGGGAGTCAGCTGCATTAAAATCACTACTGACCGAGAGGTGATGAGTTTGAAGCCTGCCCAGGTTGGAGTGAGCTTTCGGCCATTTGTCTAGCTTGCTTTGCAGCCCGAAAGACAGTTGCATCTGTCAAGTAGAAAAATTAAGTACCGCTACTGCGGGGAAGCTAATTTAACTAATTTATGACACCATAAAACTCTCCAGCAGTGTGCAAAGAATGAGGAAGTACTCCTTTGGTGTCAGAAGTGGATGGTGAAGCGACAGCTCCCCCGGTGGCCGGAATTAAAAAAGCATACCCCCATGAAGCTGGAAAGTTAAAAAGCCTCTGTGTCCCTGTCCATATATGTTATGTGTCTGTGGCATTGGAAGTTTGTCATGTATATGTGCATTGTGATCCATCCTGAGTCCCCTGCGGGGTGAGAAGGGCGGAATATAAATGCTGGAAATAAATAATAAATAAAAAGAAAAGGAGCAGTAACTGTTGAGGCCTGATCTAACGAGAAGGGGACCCTTTGGTTGTGGGACCTTGTGCTCCTAAATTAGAGTCTGAATTGAGGCCCACCACTCCTGTAGTGCCTCAAGAAATTAGCTCTTCTCTGGATGATAGAAATTGCCTTACAGACAGATCTCCTTTTAGTGAGAATGCCAGAGGCTCTTCCTGACCCTGAGGAAGAGGTGAGGGAAGTGGAAGATGTTGGGTTGTTGCCTCTAACTCAGTGCCTCCAGTTATGGATAGTACCAAGGAAAGGCAATTTGGGTTTTCCCAGCATTTGTAAGATAAGCAGGGGGATTTCAGGTGTTAGACTGATAGCATCTCCATGGGAATGAATTTGATTTCTTAAGTTAGCCTCTTGAATTGTTCTGTGTCAGAGCAACTTTAAATTTTCAAGAGAAAGTCACCTTTTTCATGTGCTCTGGGATAGGGGCTTCTGGACTTGTTTCATGTCATGTTTTCTTGTTTGGTATTGGGGAATCATGTATTGGATATAATTCTTTGTCTAAGTTCTATGGATTTTTGGGTTTACTTTCAGTATTGGACTCTGTTTTTTGCTGCATCAAGAATATTATGACTGTAAACGTATTTTGGAATGATTTTTAAAGCCAGTATTTGGGATGTATTTCTGCTTTTGCCGTTTATGTATACCTTGGAAATACTTTGCTATTCTGTATTCTGGAATGTACTACTGAACTAGCTTTTTCTTTAGAACAGGGGTCCTCAAACTTTTTAAACCGAGGGCCAGTTCAAAATCCCTCAAATTGTTTGAGGGCCGGATTATAATTTGAAAAAGAAAAAAAAAATGAATGAATTCCTATGCACACTGCACATATCTTATTTGTAGTGCTAAGAACACTGAAAAACAATTCAATAATTAAAATGAAGAACAATTTTAACAAATAATATCTTATTAGTATTTCAGTGGGAAGTGCAGGCCTGCTTTTGACTGTTGAGATAGGATTGCTGTTGTTGTTGTGTGCTTTCAAGTACTTTCAGACTTAGGTTGACACTGAGCGAGGGCCGGATAAATGGCCTTGGAGGGCCGCATCTGGCCCCCGGGCCTTAGTTTGGGGACCCCTGCTTTAGAATGTCATTTTCTTTAATAAACTTTAAATCAGTTGATTGACTCCTGTTGGCTGAACTCTATTTGGACCAATTAGCTCTTATTTTGGGTGAAAAGGTGTCACATAGGTGGCTGGCTGCAACAGTAACTCTCATTAGTCTGAAAATCAGAAAGACTGGAATAGAACAGCTCTTACCTTTGAAGGTATCCTGATCTGCTGGTTTTAACAGCCGTATCCACTAGACCCTCTCTACCGGCCATACAATGGAAGAAGAATTCCTAAAGCATAATTACAACTTCTGTGAGAAAATGATATGAGCTCCACCTAAGCATGCAACCACATGTGATGGCTCCAAAAATCCCATACTCCTAAAAGCAATTCCTTATATTCTCTGTGGCGTTATACAAATTCATATTCAAGGAGGAATTAATTAATTTATATTGCTTCTTATATTTGAATATCATGTTGTTGTTGTTTATTTATTCGGTCGCTTCCGACTCTTCGTTGCTTCATGGACAAGCCCACGCCAGAGCTCCCTGTCGGCCGTGGCCACCCCCAGCTCCTTCAAGGTCAAGCCAGTTAGTTCAAGGATACCATCCAATCCAATCCAATCCAATCCAATCCAATAAGCCTTTATTGGCATATACATAGCAAAGAGGTTTAAAATACAGTACAAATCATAGAAAAGGATACCATCCATCCATCATACCATCCATCCATCTTGAATATCATATAATAATAATAATAATAATAATAATAATAATAATAATAATACTTTATTTATATTCCACTCTATCTCCCCAAAGGGACTCAGGGCGGATTACAAATATAAAAAGCAAACATTCAATGCCCGAGTACAACAACAATACATCCATACTAACAAAATTTATAGAAATACGAATTATAACTTAACAAACTAACATTAAATAAAAAGCATAGCCTGTTATAACAGACATAAGACAAAACATCATCTTCTCTGAAATTAAGTAAAACTACACGGAAGTATTAAAGTAAACAAACTTACTGGAGGTTTGATACCAGTGAGAAATCGACTTGCCACAAACCCCCCTGATTTGGGGGAAAAATCATAAGGCTGGAAACACGGCAACGATTTTCCAGATGGCATCAAGGGAGGCCTTCGACCTTCTAACTCAATCTGGCCCAGCAAGCAGGATATCTTTATGGAGCCGAGAGAAAAGTTGTAAGACGTAACCACTGGTAGAAAGGTAAACAACACAGCTGAAACTAACCTAGCCTCTCAGTTAACACAATGAAGGTGGCTTGGTTCTACATACAGAATAACCATTGAGAAATGCTGACCATGTTATTTCTGTTAAATCCTCATTAAGCATCAGTTGTGTGCAAAGATTTCCAGGGATCACCCTACTACAAGGGACCAAAATTCTTCCAATTTCTTCTTTAAGTGCTGCCAAGAAGAAATGAGGAGTCAATGTGGCAGTCTTGAATGCAGATTAAGGCTGCATTTACATTGTGGAATCAATGCAGTTTGACCCCACTTTAACTGCTATAGCTCAATGTTATGGAATCATGGATGTTGCAACACTATTTGGAAGTGAACGTTAAAGATGCTATAAACCTCATTATTCAATAGTATTGAGCCCTGGGCCTTAAAGTGGGATCAAACTGCATTAATTCTACAGTGTAGATGTACTCAAAAGTATCGGAGAGATGAGAGTTTAAATTGCCACTCTGCAAAGGATATCCATCAAGTGACCTTGGCTCAGCCACATTTTCTTAAGTCTCAAAGGAGGGCGATGGCAAATTTTACTAAGAAAATCCAGTGACAGAATCACCTTAGTGTTGCCATTATTCAGAAATGAATGGAAGGCAAAGAAGAAAGGGCAATGAAACTATAGGGGAACTGGTGATGGTGATTTTGAATAGTATAATGATGTCTAGCAACATATTTTAACAAAAGGAATTATGAGCTTGTAAGCAAATTTCTGTGACAAGTACTGCACTACTGCAAAATTGCTCATGTATACTACAATAAGCTATGATTCGGTCTGAGTCCTTCTACGGAGCTAGAGAAGATCAGGATATAAAAGTTTTAAATAAATAAAATAAATAAATTGAAACTGCCATAGTATTCCTTATAATTAAATGTGCATGATATACAGAAACTCTCCACTCCCTATTATGCATTTAAAAACATTAGGAAATTCTACATAATTACGGAATTTACTCATTTTTCTTCCCTGTGCCCTGAGAAATTTATTACAGTATGACCCATAAATAGCTTGGATCCAGCCCACTCATATTCAGAATAACCCATATTACCTATAATATGTCCCACTGAGACCAATGGGTCTACTACTTTTGGATTCAAATTATTATCAGTACAAAACCACAACATACCTGCATAGTATTCACAGTAGAGCCTTTGGCTCCTGATTGCACCATCAACTGCAAGTTATTCTCTGGAAAACTCCGGTGAAGTCCAAGAGGCATACACACCTAGTTTTTGGAGGATTACATACAGACATCATTTAAGATATGCAAAGCCTACCTGGAGCAGTGAGGAAAATCCAAAGTCATTTTTTTCAATTTTGGAGTTCTGACACTGTAAAGATATTGTCTAATAGATAAAAGATATTGGGACTGTGGCACAGGAAGGTTTGATGTCAATTTTGATATATGAAGCTAGACAGTTTTAAAAACAATGACAAGGGAGTTGTAGTGATTAAATGTTATTTTGTGTTATGTGCCCTTGCCTTTTATGAAGAAAGGTTAAGACAGAGAAGGTCATTAATTTCCTAGTGAAGAGTTCTGGGAATTGCGGGCATTTAAAAAACATTGGGGTACTGTGTGGTTTCTGGGCTGTATGGTCGTGTTCCAGCACAATGCTCTCCTGACGTTTTGCCTGCATCTGTGGCTGGCATATTCAGAGGATATTTTAAAACTAAAGTACAGACAGTCCCCAACTTACAAGCAAGATAGGTTCTGTAGGTTTGGTCTTAAGTCGAATTTGTCTGTAATAATAATAATAATAATACTTTATTTATACCCCGCCACCATCTCTCCAAGGGACTTGGAGCGGCTTACATGAGGCCATAGCCCAACAACACATCAATAAAACAAAAAGCAATAAACAAAACAATACAATGCAATAAACAAAACAATACAATGCAATACATATTAATATAAATCATATATAAGAGTAACGAACAAGGATTTTAAAAACTATGGCCAGACCAAATGTAATAATATAAAATTAAAAAAATAACTCTGAGCAAGAACAAGGTAGAATATATCTGGTAGGAGGGTTTTAAGAAGTGAGGGGCGCAGTCCAATGCAATCCAGTAGTTAAAGTGCATTTGTAAGGACATATTGCTGGGAAATATTTCTTTATTCCAGGAAGGCACACTGGAACAGCCACGTTTTCAGGCTCCTCCTAAAGACTGCCAATGTTGGGGCATGCCTGATATCCTTTGGAAGTGAGTTCCAGAGTCGGGGGGGCACCACCGAGAAGGCCCTCTCCCTCGTTCCCACCAATCGCGCCTGCAAGGGAGGCGGGAGCGCGAGCAGGGCCTCTCCGGATGATCAAACAGATCGTGTGGGTTCGTACACAGAAATTCGTACACAGAAATGTGGTCAGAAGTGTATTATTTGCTGGACCTGTTCTGTAAGTCAGAACAGGTCCAGCGAATAATGCACTTTGTAATTTGGCCAAAAATATACACATTAGAGCTCCTGTATGCTTAGAATCCTAAAAAAAACAAAACAAAACAAAACACCAAAGCTTCCAAATAATTGAAAGGAAAATCACAGAAATCGATAACCCTTTCCTTCTGTTTATCCTGCCCAGCTTCTTTGGGGTGTACTTAGGCTGTGGAGTGAATTTAGTCTGACACCACTGTAACTGCCCTGGTTCATTGCTATGGGATCCTGGGAGCTGTAGTTTTACGAAGTTTTTAGCCTTCTCTGCCAAATAATGTTATTGCCTCACAAACTACAAATCCCAGCATTGCATAGCATTGAGCTAGGGCAAATAAAAGTGGTGTCAGAAATAAAGGAAAGGAGAGGAGAGGCGGAGAAATACAAGGAGGGCAAAGGAGAGATTGATAGGAAGGGAAAAAGGGGTTTGGAGAAATAGATAGGAAGAAAGAGGAAAAGGATTTTGGAGAGATGGATATTTATTTAATTATTTAAAACATTTATATTCTGCCCTTCTCATCCCGAAGAGGACTCAGGGCGGAGCACAGCATATACACGGCAACATTCAATGCCGGGACACAAATTCATATACACATACATAAACATTAAAAACATCTCAATATTAAAATACACCATTTAAAGCCGTCCTAGTCATCTGCGTCAAATCTAATTGGCCTGGTCATATTTCCTATTGCTGTTTTACTGCCCTGTCCTGAAAGATTGGTCACACAGCCAAGTTTTTACCATCCTTCTAAAGGACAGGAGGGATAACAATGTTGTTAACGGCTGCAAGGTTACTAATAGCAAAATATTGGAAAGGAGAGGTGGAAATTAAGATAGAAGAATGGTACAAGGAAATTTGGAAATTAGCAATAAATGACAAATTAACATGCAATTTAAAGGTTAAAAAAGGCTTAAGGAAGGATAATGATTTTGAAAATATAAGGAAAATATTTATTGAGGAAACATTAAGGAAAGAGGATGGGAACCAACCCCCATCAGAAGAAATGAGGTTCTGGTGGGAGTATAAAGAAAAGAAGAACTCCGGAGATTAGGAGCACAAGGGGTAGCACATCTGGGGCAAGGAAAAAAAGTAATGATATGAATTAAAGAGATTGTTTTTGTAATGAAATGAATATAAATGCAATAAAAAATTATTAGGTGTTTAGAAAAAAAAGAGGAGAACAAGTTGAATCGCTCTAAAGAATCTGGCTTAAAGAAAAGAATGAAGTAGTTTTTGTTAAGACTTATACATCTTTATTTCCTACTTTTCTTTCACTATATTGTTCCACCTCTTTTTATGTATATAGCATTTCTTTTGTGGTTAATAAAAAAATTAAMTAAAAAAAAAGGAGGGAGGGGGCCGACCTGATCTCACCAGGAAGGGAGTTCCATAGCTGGGGAGCAATCAGCGAGAAGGCCCTGTCTCTCGTCCCCATCAATCGTGCCTGTGACAATGGCAGGACGGAAAGCAGGGCCTCCCCGGAGGATCTTAATCTCCRTGATRGTTCATAGGGGAGATGCGTTCGGACAGGTAAATTGGGCTGGGGCTGTTTAGGGCTTTATAGGCCAAAGCSAGCACTTTGAATTGTGCCCGGTAGCAAACTGGCAGCCAATGGAGCTGGYGTAACATGGGAGTTGTGTGCTCCCTGTATGCTGCCCCAGTTATTAACCTGGCTGCCTCTCGTTGGACTATTTGAAGCTTCCGGGCAGTCTTCAAAGGCAACCCCACGTAGTGTGTGTTGCAGTAGTCTATCCTAGATGTAACGAGAGTGTGGACCACCATGGCCAAGTCTGACCTCCCAAGGTATGGGCGCAGAAAAGAGAAAAGGAGTTTGGAGAGACTGATAGGAAAAATAAGAAAATGGCTTTGGAGAGATCCATAGGAAGAAAGGGGGAAATTGGTCTGGAGAGATATGGATACGAAGAAAGAAGAAAAGGAGGTTGGGGAGATTCATGGGAAGAAAAGGCAGAAAAAGGAAAGGGGGTAGAGAGATACACACGCTTCGACTCAGCGCTAAAATGTCATGGCAGGGAAGGAGAGGAGAGGAGAGGCCTGTTCATAACTATGATTGTTCATAAGTCAGATGTTTGTAACTCAGGGGCTGCCTGTGTATGAATAAACAAATATGACAATAATATCACATCTCTTCAAACAAACCTTGTTAATGTCATTGCTGCAAAGGTTGACAACTTCTTTGAATTTCAGATCAACCATGTTAAAATCTCTTTGGTCTTTGTGAAGATGTGCATCTTGCCATTTGCTTCGGAGCTCCTCCTCCGATGCAGTATGGGGCAAATTAAATGCATCTTGAATAGCCTAAGAAAAACAAGGTATTTTTAGCTGCCAAGTCATTCATAGAGTACAGGAGCCTTGGTGAAGAGATATATACTTCACCTCTTCAGAGTATAAGCTTACCTTTGTACCACAGTGGCCACTTTCTTTAATGATCTTGCACCTCTTGCGATCTGCATGGTGTTTGACCAAAATATCTTCTACTCCTAAAAATGGAAAGACTGAGCACGTTAATTCCCTCAAGATTCACTTTTGACTTGTTCAACTTTGTTTTGTAATAAAATAATATTCTCACAAGTTCATGCACATTTTGTGTTATGGTTGGCTAAATAATTACTCTATTATGAACTCTCCAAAATACAAAAAGTTATATCTTTCAAAAGGTTTATTAGCAGGGGAAAATCAGTATTAACAAACATCACAATCATTATTTATGGTCAACTTTTTACATTCTGTAACCATCTAAGTCAGGAATGGGCAACTGAGGCAGATCCAGAAACCAACTTTCTGCCCATTGTACCTTCTGAGTGTTGTCTGGATTGCTATATATATATTAAAAACCAAAGAGCAAAGCCAGGAGAGCACAGAAGTCCACTTCGAATTTTGAAAAAGAAGCATTTTGAGTTGTCACACACAAGCGAGTGCCCCTTTAATCTATTAAAATGATGAAAAACTATTCATCAGGACTTTTGGGCCACCAAAATGGCATCCAAGGAAGTCTGGAATAATTGAGCACCACAAAAAAGAGGCTTCAAGGATCACATGTGTCATGAGGGCCACACTTTGCCCCATCTGTGCTCTAAACAATATCCACTAACATCTCATTCAATTCTTAGAGAAGTAATTATTAGCTGCCCACTCAGACAATGCATTTACTATGAGTTCAACCCACAAAAAACCCTCCCACTGCATCATAAACAGAAGTGGCTGGAGTCCTTTCAAATTAAGGATTACAGCTCTACTGTTTTGCAGCTCCCTACGAAGGGATGCTGTAACCACAGTCATCTGACTCAACAGTTAGATAGCGACAGGGCTCTCGAGTATTGATGGCATGGAAAAAATCTGGGCAGATCATTTGAACGTATTAGTTGGGGGGCCCTCCCCCCAGCACCAACTGCTGTTCTGGGACAGAGTGAAGAGAGAGGGGACCAGAAGACAGTTCCACCTTGCCTCCTGTGCTATGCTAATAATATAATATAATATAATATAATATAATATAATAATATAATATAATATAATATAACATAACATAACATAATAAAATGTATATAAATATATTTTAATATTATAATCTATATATATAAATTTGTTAGGGGCATCCAACGGAGAAACAAAACTCAAAAACCCCCCAACGAAACTTAACCAAAATTCCCATGCCCATAACACAACCCACAAGGTACAAACATATCTACTCAAAATGAAAAACAACACAACAACACACTCACAAAACGGCAAAACAACAAAACTCAAAAATCCCCCAACGAAACTTAACCATAATCCCTGTGCCCATAACACAACCCACAAGGTACAAACATATCTACTCAAAATGAAAAACAACACAACAACACACTCACAAAACGGCAAAACAACAAAACTCAAAAAAACCCCAACAAACTTAACCAAAATTCCCATGCCCATAACACAACCCACAAGGTACAAACATATCTACTCAAAATGAAAAACAACACAACACACTCACAAAACGGCAAAAGAATAAAACTCAAAAAAACCCCAACGAAACTTAACCAAAATTCCCATGCTCATAACACAACCCACAAGGTACAAACATATCTACTCAAAATGAAAAACAACACAACAACACACTCACAAAACGGCAAAACAACTGAGCATGCGCATTGGCGCCCAGCCGCAAGTTCCCTGGCGCGCGCACATGGCCTTCCGGCCAACGTTCCCTCTGCGGAAACCATGCCCACTCCAAGCCCCGCCGCGCCGCTTCCCGCACACACACACACCCTGCCGCACACACACACACAACCCCACACTCCATCACTCCCCCCGCCGCCGCACACACACGCAACCCCACTCCCTCCGCCGCCACACACACACACGCAACCACACTCCATCACTCCCCCGCTGCCGCACGCACACACGCAACCCCACTCCCCCCGCCGCCGCACACACACACGCAACCCCACGCTCCATCACTCCCCCGCCGCCGCACGCACACACGCAACCCCACTCCCCCCGCCGCCGCACACACACACGCAACCCCACGCTCCATCACTCCCCCCGCCGCCACACACACACACGCAACCCCACAAGGAAGGAGGGAAAGAAGGAGAGAAAGAGGGAAGATTGGCCACAGCAACACGTGGCGGGTAAAGGTTGTTATTTCTATTATTATTATTATTATGCTATTATTCCTATTAGACCCTTTTAGGGGGAATGGGAGAGGTGTCAGGTCCCAGAGGCAATGCATTGCATTATTGTTATTGTTATGATGGTGGTGAAATAAAAGGAAATAAAAAGTGAAAGAAGGAAGCAAACAGGGAGGGAAGAAAGGCAAAGGAAGAAAGGGGGAGGGAATGAAGGAAAGAGAGAAGGATGAAACCAAATAGTGAAAGAAGGAAAGAAAGAAAGAGGTAGAGAAGGAAGAAAGGAGAGAAAGGGGGAGGAAAAGGGGGAAGGAATAGGTAGGGACCTCTCTTTCGTAATAGTCCAGATATCTACCTCAACTTTGATAAGTTTTACTATAGGCCACAGCAACGCGTGGCAGGGCACAGCTAGTGTAATACAATATGATAATAATAAGAAGATATTATAATTATGTATTTTATATTACATGTCATATATAATACTGATATTGTACTATGCTAATAATATAATATGTTGTATGCATATATATCTTGTAAGCCATTCTGAGTCCCCTTCAGGGTGAGAAGGGTGGCATATAAATGTTGTAAACAAATAAATAAATAAATAAATATTGCTCTGCTGTATAGCCAAGTACAATCATAGACTGAGCCCTGCATTTGTCAGAAAAATCCAGATGCAAACATAAGCACTGACCAATAAGTGAGATCACTCTACATAATTCCTTATCCAGCACTGGATCATAGCTTGGTAATATGTCATGTTTCAAGATACTGTACCTCAGGCATGTAGCCAGGAGGGGGGGCTTGGGGGCTTCAGCCCCCCCCCTCCCGAAATTCTCATGGTGGTCCGCAAAAAGGCCTTACTGGTACATTATTTAAATGTTATGTTTATTCATATCATGATCTGATCACCATGCTCAATATATCCCATATGCATGGGGGTATTGGGGTAACGATACAAAAGGTTTGCTAGGGTAGACCCTCTTTCACTCAGACTCAGCCCCCCCGAACCAAACTCAGCCCCCCCCCCAAACAAAATCCTGGCTACGGGCCTGCTGTACCTCCATCTACCTTTCCAGCTTCCAGCAGCTATGCTGACTATGAGCTGTAATCACACACAGCCACATTGGCCAAGTTTTGCCTCTGTGATGTTGAACAATTATGCATTTTTTGCTTGAGGTCCAGGAAAGTAAACTGTCTTACTCACCCATTGTAAAACCCTTGTAGAACTGCAAGTAGGCAGTGAAGAGCCGAGCCAGCGCTGTCAGGACCTTTCCGCCAGTCTCCCCACCATAAACCTCATGGCAGCAGTGGACTAAACCATAGGCAGAGCTCCCGTACTGAGCTTTATCCAAGACCCCACAAAGCAACTCCCCATTTCGAATGATAACCTGGTGGGTACCAAACAAATAGTATAAATAAGTAAAGTTAGATCTTGATAGGAATCGTTCCTGTTCATATTACTTGGAATACATACACAAGGGAAGCATATCTGCAGGGATAATTCCCACTTTTACCCTCAAGCAAAAACTCAGGATTGTCCTTTTCCTCCAAGTAACTATGACATTGAATAAGATGAACTTTTCTAAGTAAGGCTGCAACAACCACACACATAAAATAAAATAAACAGGTTGCCTAGACTGACTGAAAATTTTAACAATTGAACTATACCTCAGATTCACACATAAAGTCAACATTTGTTCTGTAATTTCTGTGGGAGGACTGCTTGATCCAGGCTTTTGCACCAATCTTAGCTTTTCCAGATAAATTCAGTGGAATGTGATCCTCTGGGATTACATTTATTAACAATGTAGAAACAACCTGAGATAAAGACAAGATGGAAGAAAACTTAAGGAATGAAATTGATCCTTTCATGACAGTTACCTTTCCTTATATGTCTCAAATGATTATTTCTCAGTGGCTAAAACCTCATTTTTGTTGGCTGGTTTTAACCCTATTCTGACAACACAAGTTGCCCTTTATTTGTTCAAAGCTGCTAAAAGGAGATCAGAGTACATAGATCAGATTGGGGTACAGTGTAGGGGAGACAAGGATAGTTGATGCATATATCTATGGCTAAGTTACATTGGTTTTAAGCTGATAAATTTCTATATATTTGTATTCTATTTTAATAAGACCAGATGTATGCTGTAAGTTGTATGTTGTGTTTGCATGGTCTGTTTTTGATAAGGCCAACTGGCTAATCAACAAAAAAATGTTGTTGTTGATTATTTCTCTAATGCATAATATATTGAACCATGTAAACACATCAGAGAACTTATTTTGGCATTATTCAGTATCATTAGAACCACCATAATTATAAATTATGTATTTTTTAAAAAACCTAACATACAACTGGTGCTGTACATTAAAAAGAACACATATGTTTTGCTCTCAAGAACCCAAATCTAATACAAAACTAAGGCCCCTTTTACACTTCTATTAAAAATACAGATTATTTGCTTTGAACCAGGTTATACAGCAGTGTGGAGCCATATAATCCAGTTCAAAGCAGATAGTGTTGCTTATCTGATTTTATTATATGACAGTGTAGATCCAGCATTAAACAAAGAAAAGGGGAGTTTAGGAAGAGTAATGTATGAGTAACATATGCATGTAAGAGAAATAAGAATGTGTAAGAGATGGCAGAGAAGCAATAATGAGAGGAAACTGGATCAAAAGAGACTAAGTGGGTTTTGACTGAAGGAAGAGAAGAAAATGGAACGAGCAAGAGAAAGAATAAAACAAAACATGAAGCAGACAAATTATTAGGATATAAAACTAAATTAGGACAATATGAGAGACGTATAGAAGAACAAAGACTGAGTGAACTTCACGGAGATTAAGATCCTCCAGGGAGGCCCTGCTTTCGGTCCTGCCATTGTCACAGGCACGATTGGTGGGGACGGGACACAGGGCCTTCTCGGTGATTGCTCCCTGGCTATGGAACTCCCTGGTAAGATCAGGTCAGCCCCCTCCCTCCTGTCCTTTAGAAGGATGGTAAAAACTTGGCTGTGGGACCAAGCTTTTGGGACAGACAATAAAGCGACAATAGGAAAGATGACCAGGCCAATTGGATCTGATGCGGATGGCTAGGACGGTTTTAAATGGTGTATTTTAATATTTTGATAAATGTTTATGTATTGTATGTGAATTTGTGTCCCGGCATTGAATGTTTGCCGTGTATATGCTGTGCTCCACCCTGAGTCCCCTTCGGGGTGAGAAGGGCGGAATATAAATGTTTTAAATAAATACATAAATAATAACTTCTACCAGTAAGGCCTAAACAGTCTATTTAAAAAGGAGCAACTGTCACTGTGACTGCAACAAAATAAATGAAGATGAAATATTTATTGTCTCCAAATTCAAGTGAAAATTTTCTGGCCAGGTAATATACAGTGACTAGCAATGTTTTCTCTTTCACACTATAACAAACTGATCTCATGCCTTTGCAAATGAATTGATGACAAATCACTTTCAAACTGTGATGGATAAACGATATTTAGATAAATAGAAGAAAATCCAATACTGTAAATCCCAGCAAAGACGTCATTAAAATGATCTTCACTGTGAGGACAAACTTTGACTAAACCATGATGCTCAACTTTGAGTAGATTTTCTATGTAAAAAAGTGTAGTAAACGGATCTACCTGCTTTCCAGTCCACAAACGTCGTGGTTTTAAAATGGAAGGAGGGAGGAGTTTCACTTTCCCCTTTTTGTCTGTCAGCCCTTGATACACGAGTTCTGCATATTGCTCACGAGTGAAGAAGCAGCCCCTTGTAGTCATGCTGGTACCAGAAACCATGTGATCTTGGATCAAACCTGCCAACGGGGTCCCATCCTGGGAAATACATCACAGAGACAGAAAATAAAACATCACAAGATGTGTCACCCACCCTGATGGGAAATCATGCAGCTTCTCCAAACACTGTGGTTAGAGGATAGCTGACAAAATAGTTTGAAAGCCATCTTGGATACAATCAGGAATCGAATATAAAAGGATTCCAGTATATTAAATCAGGAATTAAAAGCTAACTCAATCACCTGACAGAAATCATAATTCATACAGAAGTAGAGAAAGGAGACTCTTGAAAGTGGAGCCAGGACAAACACAGAAACCACAATACAATTAGTGTAAACTTAAAATTTACTCATAGATTTTTAAAATCAAATTTTAAATACGATATAATTCCATTTTCAGGGTGCGTGCTATTTTGCAAGGTGGAAATAAACTCAAGAGATTGGAAAAGTTCCTTTTTTGGATTATACATTCCAGAATCCTTCAGCCCGGATGACAATCGGCGGTGTGCTGCAATTTTTTCAAGCTGTGGCAACAGCATAACGGGACAGAAAAAACTCAGCCTCCTTTCAAAATCATAACAGCCAGCAATATGCCTCTCTTCCTGTCTCCAATAACAATACAGATAGATAAAATAAGTTTTATTTATAACTAATGTTTTATTTTAAAAGATCAATATAGTCCACATGTTTTCAACTTCACATTGCTAGTTGGGATGAAATTATGGCCTCATCTATACTGACCACTTAAATCAGTTTCAAATTATCCCGTATTTTCCAGCATATAAGACAACTGGGCGTATAAGACGACCCCCAACTTTTCCAGTTAAAATATAGAGTTTGGGATATACCCGCTGTATAAGACTACCCCTCTTCCAACGCACACCAAATAAAAATTTAAAAAGGATCAGATTTGATTTCAATATGGTAATTTTCCTATTTCTGTACCTCCTTCTCTGTCTCTCAGATCTCGCACCTGCGCACCTGCACCACTTCACTGCAGTCTTCAGGAGCGAGATCTGAGAGGCAGAGGAGGAGGTACGGTAATAGGATACAAGGGTGGGCCAGACAGGTAAAAGAGTTGTGTTTTTCTGGGCCCAGAACCACTCTATCTCTTTTTTCCATACCTCGGGCGCCCCGGGTGCCTGCAGCTTGCTCCCTTCACTTACACCTTCCCGGTGAGGTGCCCCTTCACCTCACCATCAGGACCGCATTAAGTCCACGAATCCTGATGAATCGATTTTCTTCTACCGTACTTGTACAGTGTCGCCAATACGTTATTAGTATTCTCAGTCTTAGTCTGAAAATGACCAATGTGCTGCAAGAGGGACATTCACGTGTTGTGTGTTTTTTGTTACTCCACCAACGGAACCCTTATGAAGCTATGAGAATAGTTTGTATAAGATCTTACTCAAGGTGATAGGGACACTCCACAATGGAAAACTACTCAGGCGCGGTCAGGCTCTTAAAATCCTCAACCCGAGCCCCTCAACCAATGTGCTGATTACAAATGACAGAGAATCCTCCCCTGGGACAAAAGAAGGACGACTGGACTTTTTATTACGCATCGGACTTGCTGTACAGCCTAGTAAATTGGGCAGCTGAAACCAGATCTGCATTGGCGACAATGATGAAGAGTCCAAACTTAAGAAATTACGTATAAACACAAAGTAGGAAATCCAGCGCGGCACCAGTACTTAGCGAGATTCATACCTTAACGTCATACGTTCCATCACGTTAGGGACGTGTTCGGAGATTGAAGCCGCATCCACCGGCGCAAAAACAATACCATCTGCCTGTCTACAAGAAAGCATTCCTGAGTCACATGCACAAATGAGTGGCCCTTATATTCTGCTAGTCAAACATCCCAGCATAGCTCACTCCAAACGTGGCCAGGTTCCTGGTCACAAGGACATTTGAATGACAACTACCAAACTCCAAATTAGTGATTTTGTCTGTATTGTTTTGCTTTGTTCATGTTAGAAAAGCTGGAAAAGTCTAATAATTGATCTGGTCTGCACCTAGATGCTGAACGAAAATTGTAAGGACCTCCACACATCGGACTTGACATTCAGTCTCAATTGAATATCCTGTATGAATGGATTTTTCCTACTTACTTTGTACCGTTCTGTACAGTGTAGCCCTTTAGAAGGCTTCTAGCTCAGCATGGTCCGGCCGAGGACCAGGAGACCCCTAGCGCATTTTTGAGTATGTCCCCCACACAAGTATCCAGCTAACCTCTACAGATTATTCCGAGTTTGCCGGATGGATAGTTTTCAGCCAGCCCCACTCGTATAAGACTTAATTTCTTGGGACGGGTACTAGAGTATGACTCCTGGCATTATAAGACGACCCCTGACTTGTGAGAAGATTCGGCTCTGGGGTTCCAAAAGTAGTCTTACCTATGCCAGGAAATTTTTTACGGTATGTATTTTCTGAATTAGAAATGTGGATATAGTGGTGCAAGGCGACATACCTAGGGGACATACTGGAAACTAGTTTGCAGGGTGTCGCATTTTGATCAGCCCAAAACCGCAGTGCGCATGATATATATTATGCACATTAAGGGCCTTCTTTCACCCACTTTTATGGGTGTTTGTTGTCTGGCCACTTCAGCTTGAATCCGGCTTCAAACTGCGTTAAATGGTCAACAATCATGCAATGTAGCACAATGTCTATACAGCAGGTCAGAAGCAAGGCTGAGGCAGTAATGTTGCATTGTCAATTCAAAACCACTAAATGGTTGAAAACAGAAAACACAAGGGAAGAGCTCCATTGGATCCTCGGTTGAGTGACTCACCTTAGGGACAAGGTACTGTTCATCGGTACAGGCCAATATATAAGCTTCGGCTCGGCCCAGTTCATTCTGAGGGAAGTGCGCATTCATTTCATCACCATCAAAATCAGCATTGTAGGCTTTGCAATTGGCGTAGTGGAGCCTCAGAACCTTCTCTCCAGGGAGGATCCTTGCTCGATGGGCTTGGATGGAGGGCCTGTGAAGGGTGGGCTGCCGGTTCAGCAGAAGGACATCTCCGTTTTTAATGTGCCTGCAGACCTGGGAAAGATTGAAGTTTATCCATATGAGATGCTTTCTTTCCAAGAAAACTCACAATTGCCACAAGTTTTAAAAAATGGAATAGTTGGAATGTTTTGATGGAAGAAAGGCACTACATTTTCAGTGGCATGGTGTCAGTGTTCTTTGGATTTTGTAATTTTATTCATTTATTTTGCTGCATAGCCAACACAGCCTAAATGCATTAACAGTATGTAAGATTTCTTTTTTTAAAAATAATTTGAGAAAATACAGTTATATAGACATATACTATACATTTTCCTCTCTTTTATTTACATTCACCCCTGTGCTCCCCTTCTCCAGAGCCATCTCTTTTCCTAAAGTCCCACCAAAAAATCCGTTCTTCATTTGGAGGTAAATTCCCATCTTCTTTTTCCAATAATTTTTCTAGAAATTTTCTCCAGATACTTTCAAAGTTATTTTTTTGAAATTATCCCTTCTTTACTTTTGAGTTTGCTGTTAGCTTATCGTTCAATGCCATTTTCCAGATTTCTTTATACCATTTATTAATCTGTATTTTCATTGCAATTAATAGTCTAGCTGCTGTTAATAGCATGTCTATTAAATTTTCCCCTCTTATCTTTCCCATTATTTATATTTATATCTGATAGTCTCAAACAATTCAACATAGTTCGTGGCAGCCACAAAATGAAGCTTCTAGAGTATAACAACTACTTTCAAAGTAAGTACCACACAATTAAGCAGGAAATAATACAGGGTTAGGCAGCATAACTTCCTTTTTTAAAATGCGTGCCATTTAGTTGGTTGAAGACGTAGCAGAGCACTAGTGGTCTCATTCGAGAGGCGGGAGTATAAGCTTTTGTCCTGACACAGTTCAGTCTCCATCATCCAGGAAGAAATTGCCAACATAACGCCTCCTATGCTGGCAAGAGTCATGACAAACGCCAGAAATCGGTTTACTCAGTGTATGGAGAATGGTGGACGTCACCTACCTAATTTGATCTTCAAAACTACATAAAACAAAATTTTAGGTATACACCTACATTATAAAAAAAAATTCTGATTCATACAATGGGTTTTATTAAGTTTTGAAAAAGGAAGTTATGCTGCCTCACCCTGTACTTTCAAATCAAGGACAGACCCCCCCCCTCCCAAATTTGGTTATCTAGCGTAATATGAAGTAATAGAAAAAAAGGGGTGTCTCGGTCATCTGGAGGAGATGAAAACCTCACGCTGCTGCTTTCAGATCTTAGCAATGTTCGTTAAGGACAGGGAAAATATACATAGAAATATATATATAGAAAGATTGTGAAACCAGGTGAACACTAGTGCATCAAAATCCTAAATTATGGTTGGAAAACTTCCAAAGAGTTCATGGGTCCTCCTCCCTCCCTAAGGAGATCAGACAAGAACCTACCTTATCCACCTTCCGTAAGGATTTAAAAACCTGGATGTTCAGTTGTGCCTTTGATTAGGCAGTTCACTTGAGAATTAGTTCGACTTTATTTATGTTCCTGCACTTTAGTTTTACCCAATCACCCCTGATTCTCAACACTTTATGTCCAGAGGTATTCCCTCTAGTTTGATATGCCTAAACTTTTGCACTTTCCCCCCGGCTCTACTTAGGAATTCATTGCACTTATGTGAGCCTGTACCCAGTTCTGATTCTGTTTCAGCCATGATATTGTTTCTATGATGTTTTATGATGTTGTTGTTGTAACTGTGATATGTTTCTATTTGATTGATTTTAATGCTGTTATTTTATCTGTGATTTTGGGCTCCTCCCCATGTAGGCCACCTTGAGCACCCTTGGGGAGATGGTGGCGGGGTATAAAAAATAATTAGTTAATAGTTAATAGTTATGGGACAAATTACCACCCTCAGGGCCTACACATATTTTGATATAATAACTATAGGTTTGGCCAGTACTCACAATTTTTATTCCTGGTTTTGGTGTCCCAGTTGAAGGAGTCAGGAGTTGCTTTGCTATGGCTTCCCTTTGAGTCTCATTGGCTGCGCTCAATATTGTGCGAGAACCATCTTCATTGATGATCATGGAAGCACCAGGATGCTGATTGGGACCATTTATAACAGCCTGCCTCAACTCCTGGACATTCCAGGGAGTTACAGGCTGAGGATAGGTCAGTTTGGTAGCAAACACCTGCGAGAAAGAAAAAGCCAAAATCAAAGTACTGTATATACTCGAGTATAAGCCTAGTTTTTCAGCCCCCTTTTTAGGCTGAAAAAGTTCCCCTCAGCTTATACTCGAGTCAAGGCTATTTATTACTTTATTTTGTCATTAGTATCATTTTATTACATGAATTATTTAATATATTAATTATTACTATTATATTTACAATATTTTACTCTACAGTATTATTATTTTATTACATTTATTATTTTACTCTATTTATTATTAGTATTATTAATTATTTACTCTTTATTATTATTACATTTACTATTTTACTTTATTTTTGTTACTGCATTTATAATTTTACTGTGTTATTACTGTTATTACATTTCCATTATTTTACTATTATTATTATTATTATTATTATTATTATTATTATTATTATTATTATCCTGACACAAGAACACAGTATGACACAGCAAATGAGGTATATATGCTGGATTTCATTATTATTATTATTATTATTATTATTATTATTATTATTATTATTATTCTCTATTATTATTGGAGGGATACATAAGCACACTTACACTGAAGATTAGAATAATGATTTAATCAGAGCTGGACAGTCTTATCTTAAATTACAGTTTTATGTAAATATTCAAAAACATTTAACCTACTGATGCCTCAATTAATGTAATTTTATTGATATCTATTTTTATTTTGAAATTTACCAATAACTGCATTTCCCACGCTCGGCTTATACTCAAGTCAAAAAGTTTTCCCAGTTTTTTGTGGTAAAATTAGGTGCCTCGGCTTATATTCAGGTCGGCTTACACTCGAGTATATACGGTAAACACTTTCTTTGCATTTAACCCCTCACATCACAAAGTACCACCATTTCCTATCATCAGCCAATTTTACTACATTTACCCAGAATATATCCATTTTACTAGAAAAAGAGAAAAATATTTAAAACACTGACCAATTTGTTACATTCAGTTTAGTATAACAGTTGTCAAAACCTTTCCTTTGAACTTTGTGGCAATGACAGCAATTAAAAATCTACTTGATTGAAGATCTAGATAAGCCAGTTAATCTGCACATTTGCTCATAGTCCCAGGAAACATTCATGACAATGGTGATAGAAGAAATCTTTTCATGAAACCAACATAGTATGTCACAAAAAAATCCATCATGAATTCTTTATTTCTGAAAGTGCAACTAATTCGTTTACTTATTATTTATTATTAACTGCATTTCTATACCGCTTTTCTCACTCCTGGGGGGACTCAAAACGGTTTACAACATAATACATGGCAAATTCAATGCCTCACATATCTACAAAAATATCACATATCCAAATCAATAACATATAACTGTAGAAAATAACTATTAAAACTATAAAAACATCAAACATAGACACAAACATATTATTGCTGCAATATTATTGCTGCAATTCAGGCACAGATGTCTGGAAAACTCTTTATTTCACTACTATGCAATACACAGAAGTGAACTATACCCTGCCATTTGGTTTCCTCAAGCAGATTTTATGCAAGGAGATTATGATTAAATGCAGATCTATTAAATCACACATTCGTAACCTAACTGCTAGTATTTCTACATGAGGATAATACACTGGGTTCTGATTTCCACGTGTTAGTGTCAACATCTACTGAACAAAGGATTATAAAGGCACCAAATCAAACCTTTCCAAGCAGATACTGTCACAGACTATTTCTTACCATAGGAATGCCTATTTCATTGGTTCGAATGTACATATCAGGGCAAATGACAGACCGAGCAGCATAATCCACACGCTTTCCCATCATATGCTTACGGAACAACCCATCCTTTTTCTCCAGAAACTTATGTTTCCCAAAAATAAAACAAAGACAATCATTTCAGAAATGTGTCAATTTACTATTTGAAATATTTGTGTTTTCAACAAGAAAGTGTACAGAAATGTTCTTCACTTATACATACCATAGTGCAATCATGTTTGAAGACACTCAGAAACTACGCTAAGACCATTTCATGTTCAAAGTACTGATGGTGGCCAAAACTGTATACACTGCTTCTCTATTTAATTTCAGAGTAATTAACAAATCACAACTTCAGACAGTCCCCGAGTTACAAACAACTCCTAGTTACAAACTGTGATTTTTGTGTGTGTGTGTGTGCCAGTAGTGACTTGAGAAACGGCAAGTCGCTATCCATCTGTCCATATTCATGGATATGGACAGATTATCACATATAATTAAGAATCAGAATAAGGAAAGTCAATTAAGGTGGGACAAACTAAGACTATATTTGAAGGGAGAAAAAAACTAAATATCTAAGTTTAAATTCATAGAATTTCCTAAGTCAATCGAGACCTTCTGAAGCAGAAATCTTCTTAAGAAGAACCCTTCCTTCCCTCCCCCCTTTTTTTCTCTCTCTTTTGTCCCCATCACCCTTTTCTTCATCAACAAGACTGTACCTCTGTGGACTGAACTGGAAGCAAATATCCCTCCCCTACCTTCACTCAAGGATCCCAGCCTCACTACCATAGTTCAACTTCTCAACCCTCTCTTCAACCCAACTACCCCTCCCCTCTCTTCTACCCATTCCTCTCGCCTCCCTCCCCCCCCCAATCTATCCAACTTCCCACTTTCCTATAAGCCAATTTGTTCCCCCTCTATCACTGTTATGTTTGGAAAATGCACAATAAAATTATATATATATATATATATAATTTTATTGTGCATTTTCCAAACATAACAGTGATAGAGGGGGAACAAATTGGCTTATAGGAAAGTGGGAAGTTGGATAGATTGGGGGGGGGAGGGAGGCGAGAGGAATGGGTAGAAGAGAGGGGAGGGGTAGTTGGGTTGAAGAGAGGGTTGAGAAGTTGAACTATGGTAGTGAGGCTGGGATCCTTGAGTGGCGGTAGGGGAGGGATATTTGCTTCCAGTTCAGTCCACAGAGGTACAGTCTTGTTGATGAAGAAAAGGGTGATGGGGACAAAAGAGAGAGAAAAAAAGGGGGGAGGGAAGGGAAAGGGTTCTTCTTAAGAAGATTTCCGCTTCAGAAGGTCTCGATTTTATAAATAAATATATAAATAAATTTATATATATATATATATATATATATATATATATATATATATATATATATAATAAATAAATAAAATTTTATTGTGCATTTTCCATTTTATTTCCATTTTCGCTTCTGGTGTGAGAGAATTGGCTGTTTGCAAGAACGTTGCCCAGGAGACGCCCAGAAGTTTTGATGTTTTCACCATCCTTGTGAGAGACTTCTCTCATGTCCCTGTATGGGGAGCTGGAACTGACTGAAGGAGCTCATCCGCGCTCTCCCCAGATTCAAACCTCTGACCTGTTGGTCTTCACTCCTGCCGGCACAAGGGTTTAGCCCATTGTGCCACCAGATGAGACAACAGAAAGTGAGTGGAAATCTACCCCTAGGAAGGGAAATCCACTCTTATAAGTTATGAGGGAAAGGTATCTTCCCTGAAGCGTTATCAGCAATCCTTGTTTTCACAATATCCCAACATTTTCAAAATCCAATTGTCACAGGGAGAGAAAATGTGGTGAAATCTTCTGAACAGGAGCACAGGGAGGAAAACAAACACTACAGGGGAGCAGTCCCGTAACCAGGATTTTGATTCGGGGGGTGGGGTGGGGTGAGGATCTACCCTAGCAAATCTTTTGTATCGTTATCCCAATACCCCCATGCATATGGCATATATTGAGCATGGTGATCAGATCATGATATGAATAAACATAACAGCTTAAATAATGTACCACCCTGAGAATTGTGGGAGGAGGGTGAAGCTCCTCAAGCCCCCCCCCCCCCCCGCTACATGCCTGCAGGAGGGTTAACCCTTATGTGATCCAAAACTAAAAAGAAACCTTTTTTGCTAGTTATACTTATATGCCTTTTCTGACTTAGATACAAATTCAACTTAAGAACAAAGGTACAGAATCTACCTTGTCTGTAACCCAGGGACTACCTGTACTTAAAAAATACTTTTCCAGCTCTTACCTGACGCACGCCAGGGTATTTCTCTGTTATCACCTTATCCATGTCACTGTCAAACACAATATTTACACGGCTCTGCAGACGAATCCAGATGGTGTAAAGCTTATCTGCAATAGTCTGTCCTGGGATGGTTTGTAGAAAGCTGCGGTCCAGAGGTTCTGAGGTCTGTTCCATTTCCTGTGGAATATCAAATGAAGTCTCAGCAGAAGATACAGTGGGGGTCCTGGTTTCACCGAAGACATATAGAAACACCTTAAAAGTTATGGTTCAGTGATGAATTTAAAATGAGATTATTGGATTATTGCAATGCGTTCTACGTAGGATTGCCCTTGAAGTATATATATGTATATGATTTGAAGTATATGATTTCCTACAATTAGGTCTTCTGGTTTAGAAGTACAACAAAAATAGCTTCCCTTGGCTCTCTCTGAAATTAATGCTAAAAGACATAGGTCCCTTCTACACTGCCATACAAAATCCACATTATCTGCTTTGAACTGGATTATATGGCAGTTTAGACTCATATAATCCAGTTCAAATCAGATAATGTGGACTATAATCTGGATTCTATGGCAGTGTAGAAGGGTCCCCAGATGATTCATCCCATGCAAATAACATCACCACTGTTCAACGGTAATCTCCTTAAATATGGAGAAAACCTGCTAAGGCAACTGTGGCTCTTTGATTCTTTCCTTGCACTATGAACAGAACTCACAAATACCATCTTGGTTTACAAACTGAAGTTCCACCCTGTGTTATATTTTTGGTCTTTAAACAAATAGAGAAAGTGGATGCTTTTCCTGCTGGAAAAAGGGCTCATGAAACAAAATCTTACCTTCTTGAGGTCTTCCATCTGACACTCTTCTTGAGCAATAATAGCCAGAACTTTCCGGGTCAGCTGAGCATCCTTCATGACAGCTTGCAAGTTCACAGTCTGACCATTTGCAAACATCTGGTCCCTCACACAACTCACAGGGCGGTACCTATGCAGAGCACACATTGATTATGCGGAGAAAAGTAGTAACAGTCTTTGTCGCATTTGTTAAATCATTAAAACCTTTCAAAGTCATTTAAAATACAGTTGTCTTTTCACATTAACAGATTCTGATTCCACGGATTCCACCATCAACGGCTTTAAACTCACTATAAATAAGATTGCAATCTATATAAATAAAAATATAATGTTCGTTTGTGGGATTAACGTAACTAAAAAACCACTGGATGAATTGACACCAAATTTGGATAGCATACACCTAACAACGCAATGTATGTCCTTCACTCAAAAAAAAATTGATTTTGTTATTTGGGAGTTGTAGTTGCTGGGATTTATAGTTCACCTACAATCAAAGAGCATGCTGAACTCCACCAATGATGGAACTGAACCAAACGTGGCACACAGGACTCCCATGACCAACAGAAAACACTGGAAGGGTTTGACCTTGAGTTTGGGAGTTGTAGTTCACCTACATCCAGAGAGCACTGTGGACTCAAACAATGATGGATCTGGACAAACTTGGCACAAATATTCCATATGCCCAAATATGAACACAGATGGAGTTTGGGGGAAATAGACCTTGACATTTGGGAGTTGTAGTTACTGGGATTTAAAGTTCACCTACAATCAAAGAGCAATCTGAACCCCACCAACGACAGAATTGGGGCAAACTTCCCACACAGAACCCCCATGACGAACAGAAAATACTTAAGGCCATACAGTTCAACTTCACCAGAGTAAAAAACGTAATCAAAGCCCTCCTGACAAAGAGTCATCCAGCCATAGATATAGTTAGATATATATGATTCACACACACACACACACAGTATCATAGATTTGAAAGGGACACCTAAAGAAGGACAATTATATGTTGCATGTGCCAGAGTAGGCAAACCAGACACTCTCCACGTCAACACTGACAAAGAAACAGCAAGAAATACTGTTTACCCACAAGCATAAAGACATTACATATATTAGAAACCAACACTTTCTCATTACTTTATTTTCCGGATCAACAGACTGGGCCACAGCAACGCATGGCAGTGGACGGCTAGTCTATATAAATAAAAATGTAATGTCCGTTTGTGGGATTAACATAACACAGAAACCATTGGATGAATTGACACCAAATTTGGACACAATACACCTATCAGGCCAATGTATGTCCTTCACTTGAAAAAAAAACCCACCCAAAAACAGTGAAAGGGATTTTAAAACTCAAATATGATAAAATAAGGTACAGCGAATGTGTGAAAATGACCCACTGGACCCTCCCCCTCCTGCACGAACAGGGAGCATTGACTGCTCCGGTGGGTTGGGCAAGCAGACCCTCGGCTCCTCCAGCCCCCCAATTTGGTGTCTCCCCCCTCTCTTTCCCACTCGCCACCTCCACAGAGCCCCTACCATCCTCGCCTTTGGGCCTACCCTCCCCCACCACGCTGGGGCCTCGCGTGGGCCCTCCTTCCTTCCCTCCCTCCCTCCCAGTCTCCTTCCTCTCTTTGTCGGCCCCACCAAACACAGACCTCTCCTCCTTCTTTTCCCCTTTGGAGAGGTGGGTGGGTGGCTGCTCCATGTGGACACTGCTTGCCAGGCTTCACCTTCCCTTGCTGGGCCTGGCGGGGGCGGAGGGCATTGTTCGAGGTGGGCCTTGCTCACCCACATTGGCCCCTTTTTTCTGCTGCAGCTGCAGAGCGCCTTACATATGACCCTGCCTGCGTGCCCACCCGCCAAACAGGGTAGGTGCCCCGCAGCCATGGCAGAAAGAAGAAGGGGTGGCACTGGGTGAGTGAGGCTTGCCTCAAAAAGCGCCTCCCGCCTGCCCTGCGCCCAGCCCAGCAAGGCTGAGGGCTACAGCAAGGCTCCCTTCCTGCTGGTACCCAGGCAAGGTAGAGAAGGGAAGAAGGAAAGAGAAAGAAAGGAGAGAAAGAGGGAGGGAAAGAAAGAAGGAAAGAGAGAAGGAAGGATGGAAGCAAAGAGCAAAGGAAGGAAGGAAAGAGGTAGAGAAGGAAGAAAGAAGAGAAAGAAGGAAAAGAAAAGGGGGAGGGAGGGAGGGAGGAAAGAGAGAAGGAAAGAAAAAAAGGAAGGAAGGAAGGAGAGAAAAAGAGAGGGAAGGTTGGCCACAACAACGAATGGAGGGTACAGCTAATTGTGAAATAAAGTTCAGACACATTTCATTACCTCGCGGGAGGAACAACAACCTGGTCGAGGAAGAACATATCAGGATTGAAACTTGAATCACCAGCGATAGTCATACCGGAGAAAAGCTTAGACAAGAGAAATCCTGAAGAGAACAGAAAGCCATCAGAAAGTTTACTTAAGACAGAATCAAATTAAGTTCTAAGGAATTTAAAAAGGACAATCCAGTGAACCATATATGTGGTCATATATATCCACTGGTGATTTCATTGTGCATTTAAGGCTGCACTCTTAAGCAGCCAGTGACAAAATTTATATTCTCATAGTATCTTTTAAGACAATTCATTTTCTTTCCACTGCTGAACTGGATTATAAGAGTCTACACTGATATATAATCCAGTTCAAAGCAGATAATCTGGATTTTATATGGCAGTGTAGAATGGGCCTTAGAATCTCTGGGGCCCCTTCCACACAGCTGAATAAAATCCCACAATATCTACCTTGAACTGGAATATATGGCAGTGTGGACTCAGATAACCCAATTCAAAGCAGATATTGTGGGATTTTCTGCCTTGATATTCTGGGTTATGTGGCTGTGAGGAAGGGCCCTAGGTCCGCCAGCATGTTTCTTCTAAAGAAACTTGACCATAGTCATTCTGAAGAACGAGAGATTATCAAAGAGGTATTCTCTCAGATTTTTAAAAAACGGCTTTTCAAAAAAATCATTTCCCCCATCTTTGGGGTCCATCACAAACCTTGAGAAAGTAGAAGGCCGACTCTATTCTGAACACACTGAGGGCCCTTCCACACAACCCTATATCCCAGAATATCAAGGCAGAAAATCCTACAATATCTGATTTGAACTGGGTTATCTGAGTCCACACTCAGATGTGGGATTTTCTGCATTGATACTCTGGGATATAGGGCTGTGTTGAACGGCCATGAGGCCCCTTCAACACAGCTGAATGAAATCACACATTATCTGCTTTGAACTGGAATATATAGCAGTGTGGACTCGGGTAACCCAGTTCAGAGAAGATATTGTGGGATTTTCTGCCTTGATATTCTGGGTTATATGGCTGTGTGGAAGGGCCCAGACTTCACGGATTTGAGCAAATACAACATACAGTCGAAGGTGCAACACCACTAATGCAAAAGTTGGAGGGGTTGGTAAAAGGAGGTATAAACAACATTATTCATTACCATCATTTTTCCATAAAGCTTCAACATGTTGCTTGGCAGTCATAGGTGTCAAATAGCCTCGCTTTCCCAGGTGGGTTTCATCTACAACTAAAGAATTAAATTTTTGGAGAGATGAACAACAAAATCTGGATCAAGTCACTTGTGTAAAATTCTATACTAAAGAACTAAAAGGCTTATTCAGTATCAGGAGCATGAAAGAAAAGCCAATTCCAGCACAATATTGCACACAACAGAGAAAGAAACACAGCATTGACAAAGGCCTCTTCTACACTGTCCTTATATCCCAGGATCTGATCCCAGGTTACATGATTTGAGTTGGATTATATGAACCTCTATTTGAGTTGAATTATATGAACCTCTATTTGACTATTCTAAAGCCTTTGACTGTGTGGATCGTAATAAATTCTGGCAAGTACTTGGTGGTATGAGCATACCAAATCACCTTGTCTCTCTCCTGAGGAATCTGTATAAGGACCAAGTAGCAACAGTAAGAACTAACCATGGAACAACAGACTGGTTCAAGATTGGGAAAGGCGTATGGCAGGGTTGTATACTCTCACCCAACCTATTCAACTTGTATGGAGAACACATCATGCGATGTGCAGGGCTTGACGAATGCAAGGCTGGGGTGAAAATTGCTGGAAGAAACATTAACAACCTTAGATATGCAGATGATACCACTTTGATGGCCGAAAGTGAGGAGGAGCTGAGGAGCCTTCTAATCAAGGTGAAAGAAGAAAGTGCAAAAACTGGGTTGCAGCTAAACATAAAAAAACCCCCAAGATATGGCAACCAGACTGATTGATAACTGGCAAATAGAGGGAAAAAACGAGGAGGCCGTGACAGACTTTGTATTTCTAAGTGCAAAGATTACTGCAGACACAGACTGCAGCCAGAAAATCAGAAGACACTAACTTCTTCGGAGGAGAGCAATGACTAATCTCGATAAAATAGTGAAGAGTAGAGACATCACACTGGCAACAAAGATCCGCATAGTAAAAGCAATGGTATTCCCCATAGTCACCTACGGATGTGAGAGCTGGACCATAAGGAAGGCTGAGCGAAGGAAGATAGATGCTTTTGAACTGTGGTGTTGGAGGAAAGTTTTGAGAGTGCCTTGGACTGCAAGAAGATCCAACCAGTCCATCCTTCAGGAAATAAAGCCCAACTGCTCATTGGAGGGAAGGATTGTTGTTGTTGTTCATTCGTTCAGTCGTTTCCGACTCTTCGTGACCTCATGGACCAGCCCACCCAGAGCTCCCTGTCGGCGTCACCACCCCCAGCTCCTTCAAGGTCAGTCCAGTCACTTCAAGGATGCCATCCATCCATCTTGCCCTTGGTCGGCCCCTCTTCCTTTTGCCTTCCACTTTCCCCAGCATAATTGTCTTCTCTAGGCTTTCCTGTCTCCTCATGATGTGGCCCAAGTACTTCAACTTTGTCTCTAGTATCTTTCCCTCCAGTGAGCAGTCGGGCTTTATTTCCTGGAGGATGGACTGGTTGGATCTTCTCGCAGTCCAAGGCACTCTCAGAACTTTCCTCCAACACCACAGCTCAAAAGCATCGATCTTCCTTCGCTCAGCCTTCCCTAAGGTCCAGTAGAGGCAAAGTTGAAGTACTTTGGCCACATAATGAGAAGACAGGAAAGCTTAGAGAAGACAATGATGCTGGGGAAAATGGAAGGAAAAAGGAAGAGGGCCAAGCAAGGGCAAGATGGATGGATGGCATCCTTGAAGTGACTGGACTGACCTTGAAGGAGCTGGGGGTAGTGACGGCCGACAGGGAGCTCTGGCGTGGGCTGGTCCATGAGGTCACGAAGAGTCGGAAATTACTGAACGAATGAACAACAACAACATATGAACCTCTACTGCCATATAATCTGGGATAAGAAGAAAATCTGGATCAGATCCTGGGATATAAGGACAGTGTAGAAGGAAACAAAGATGGACTTGAAATTGACTGACCACTCAGAAACATCCCTAGGAAGCATAAAAATGAATAGATAGGTCACATAATTACATCATTGTCAGAATAGCATCAAGCTATTTTTAAATTGATAAAAAATTGCCAGGGCATAGTTGCGGCATACAACAAAGGTGTTCAATCCTTAGGTGTCTAAATGCACATTTTTCTTCCCTCAGGGAAAACAGCAGGGCACATCATTGCCCCGAAATGAAAACGTAACTGGGCCCATTTCACAATTGTACTCAATTATAATAGTAGGATCCGACTGAACAATTATAGCATCATTTTATGAAATCCTAAAATTTGTAGAATGATGTGAATAAGGCTTTCTCTCACACACATACAAAACTAAAAATCCTCAAATTCTACAGGAGCAAGTATAGTATGAATAGACCTTGGAAATCTACTTTTGCTTTTGTAAAAACACTTCTGAGGCAAAAGAAAATGGAAGGGGCCCTACACCTTCTTTTGAAGAACTGTCACATCAAAATCAATGTTTTTATCATAGGGCACCTCCACAAAGACTAAAAGTGACCTGCAGGTTGTGTATTATTAACACTGTCGAGGCACACTGTCTACTAGAAATCAAAGAACTCATTATCTGATCAGTTGAAATCATAGTTGGCTCATACTCATTGGGGAACGCGTGGCTCGAGAGCAGCAGTATGTGTGAAAAAGATCTTGGGGTCATCATGGATAACAAGTTAAACATGAGCCAACAATGTGATGCGGCGGCAAAAAAAGCCAATGGGATTTTGGCCTGCATCAATAGGAGTCTAGTGTCTAGATCCAATGATTTATTTATTTATTTCTGAATATTTGTACCCGCCCTTCTCAACCCCCCGGGGGGGGGGGGGGGGTGTCTCAGGGCGGCTTCCAATTGGCAGCAATTCGATGCCTCAATATATACATAATAAAAACAAACAGTCAATAATTATAAATAGTTAAAACCATTAAAACAATACAATTAATCCAATAATCAATCAAAATATTGTGTGTTGAGGCCTAGGCCTGTGTAAGCCGCATCAAGTCCCTCGGGAGATGCTAGCGGGGTACAAATAAAGTATAATAATAATAATAATAATAATAATAATAATAGCACTGCTTAATTTAACACCTGTTCAAAGAGCCAGGCACCAGGAGCCTGTCACTGAGAAGGAAACCAAATCCCTGAAGGGAGATGTTGACAAGAGGAGGGCGACTAAAATGATCAAGGGTCTGGAGAACAAACCCTATGAGGAGCGGCTCTATTCTGCCTTGGTTAAACCACACCTGGAATATTGTGTCCAGATCTGGGCACCATAGTTGAAGAGAGATATTGACAAGCTGGAAAGTGTCCAGAGGAGGGCGACTAAAATGATCAAGGGTCTGGAGAACAAGCCCTATGAGGAGCGGCTTAAGGAGCTGGGCATGTTCAGCCTGAAGAAGAGAAGGCTGAGAGGAGATATGATAGCCATGTATAAATATGTGAGAGGAAGTCACAGGGAGGAGGGAGCAAGCTTGTTTTCTGCTTCCCTGGAGACTAGGATGTGGAACAATGGCTTCAAACTACAAGAAAGGAGATTCCATCTGAACATTAGGAAAAACTTCCTGACTGTGAGAGCTGTTCAGCAGTGGAACTCTCTGCCCTGGAGGGAGTGTGGTGGGGGCTCCTTCTTTGGAGGCTTTTAAACAGAGGCTGGATGGCCATCTGTTGGGTGTGCTTTGAATGCAGTTTTCCTGCTTGGCCAAAAAGGGTTGGACTGGGTGGCCCATGAGGTCTCTTCCAACTCTAGGATTCTGTGTGGTAGTTGAATAAGATCTACAGAGACACACGCTGGAACACCTCAGCAAGCGAGAGTCCAAAAGTGGCAGGCTCAAACCCAGAACCTCAACCAATGGGTGATACCAGATGAAAGACTCCCCCCTGGGCACACAGAAGACTGGGCGACTTGGAAGGCGCTGAACAGACTGCGCTCTGGCACCACGAGATGCAGAGCCAATCTTAAGAAATGGGGCTACAAAGTTGAATCCACGACATGCGAGTGTGGAGAAGAGCAAACCACTGACCACCTGCTGCAATGCAACCTGAGCCCTGCCACATGCACATTGGAGGACCTTCTTGCGGCAACACCAGAGGCACTCCAAGTGGCCAGGTACTGGTCAAAGGACATTTAATCAACTACCAAGTTTGCAAAATTTGTGTTTTTTTATCTGTTTGTTTGTTTTGTTCTGATAGAAATGTAATACAATGGTATGGTTGCTGATGACACGATAAATAAATAAGGGGTTGGACTCGATGGCCCACGAGGTCTCTTCCAACTCTATGATTCTATGAATGAATGGCAACCAACAGCCCTGTCACCATTTTTCAGAATGGTATAACAGCACAAAACTGGACAAAATCTGACTTAGGCTCCTTCCACACAACTGTATAAAACCCCACATTATCTGCTTTGAACTGCGTTATATGGCAGTGAGGACGCAGATAATCCAATTCAAAGTAGACATTTTGAATTATCTGCCTTGATATTCTGGGTTATATGGCTGTGTGGAAGGGCCCTTATTTCTGACCTTGTGATAACTAAATACACTGTTTGAGCTACATTTTGCACATTTTATTTGGCTATGTGGCAGGGGCTGGGGGAAGACTAGCTTGCATAAAAATAAAAGATAGCAGAGTGTTTCACAAGCCCTTAGCATATTGGTTCAAAACTCCCCAGGAGTTTTGGCCTACAACTCCCAGAAATCCCAGCCAGTTTACCAGCTGTTAGGAATTCTGGGAGTTGAAGGCCAAAACATACGTGGACCTATAGGTTGAGAACCACTGTTTAACATATGACACCAGGTTTGCTGTGGTTTAATGTGGCATAATGTTTGTTGGTGTGAAGTTTCTGTAAGATATCAGTAGAAAATACATACTTGCTGCTTCTTCCACTATTTTCTTTTTGCCCGATTTCTGGATTATGACACTACAGTTTGTCACAGTGAGTTTGCTATTATGTTCTTTTCGGACAAGTGATCTTCCAGCTCTTGAAGACAGTAAAGGAGGAAAAGACAAAACCATTATTAGTCCTCAATTTTCTGCTGTGGCACCCCAGATTTAGAGGCCTGTTTGGTGCCAATGCATATCAATGAAACTTTATAATCTGACTCCTTAATCAAAGCTTTTGGAATCTAATCATTTTGTCCAAATCTGTTTGAAATTGTTCTAATTTGTTTTACATGTTTTTAGCATATTTCAATTATTATACTATTGAAATTTTTCTAAATTTGATTTTATACTGTAAAGCTATTTTGTAAATAAAGCAAAGCAATCATTTCACTTTAATCCAGTGTTTCTCAACCTTCCTAATGTCGCAACCCCTTAATACAGTTCCTCATGTTGTGGTGACCCCCAACCATAACATTATTTTCGTTGCTACTTCATAACTGTCATTTTGCTACTGTTATGAATCTTAATGTAAATTTTTGATATGCAGGATGTAAATTTGGGGGTTGGAGGGGTGGATTCATTTTTGTCATTTGGGAGTTGTAGTTGCTGGGATTTATAGTTCACCTACAATCAAAGAGCATTCTGAACTCCAATGATGTGAACAAAACTTGGCACACAGAACTCCCATGACCAACAGAAAATACTGGAAGAGTTTGGTGGGCATTGACCTTGAGTTTTGGAGTTGTAGTTCACCGACATCCAGAGAGGACTGTGGACCCAAACAATGATGGATCTGGACCAAACTTGGCACGAATGCTCAATATGCCCAAATGTGAACACTGGTGGAGTTTGGGGGAAACAGACCTTGACATTTGGGAGTTGTAACTGCTGAGATTTCTAGTTCACCTACAGTCAAAAAGCTTTCTGAACCCCACTAACAACAGAATTAGACCAAACTTCCCACACAGAACCCCATGACCAACAGAAAATAATGTTTTTTGATGGTCTTTGGTGACCCCTCTGACACCCCCCTGTGACCCCTCCAGGGGTCCCAACCCCCAGGTTGAGAAACCCTGCTTTAATCAATTCCAAAAAGTGCACAAAACTGTAACAGTATATCAGGCTTGGGTTTGGATAAATAAAGGAAGATAATTTCTATAAAATGGCATGGTTATACTCACTTGCAATTTGGACATTTCTTTGAACTCATGTGTGATTTCCAAAACTGGGAGATAAGTTTACTTCTACATTCACATACTGTTTTTACCTTTAAGGGGTGAAGGGTAAAAAAAAAGGTTACAGAAGTTTAAAAAGCTACGCATTAATCAAATTAATTGTAAACATCAATTCCGAGAGCAATATTAAGAAAACATAGACCTACAATTATATTTTAGAACTTATATTTTCATTTGAGACGTGATTTGTTTGTGATCTTGCTATAAAAGATTTCCCCCCTAAAATTAAATCCTGATGACTGAAGGAAAGGAACATCTTGGGACATAATGTAAAACTGAATTGCAAGGGCCACACTATTAAGAAAACTATTAACAGTCTACATATGACTCAGGTCCACTTCCCACACATATGGGCAAACAAAAGTACAAATGAGTCCATTAGAATCATTTACCTAATTACATAGCACTTTTTGACCACTCTAGCAAAATGTTTGCTGACCTTATCCATTAAAATCCAGTTCACACTTTATATCTGCTGTCCAAAAAGTGCAACTATCAAAAGCTGGAACAACTCACACGGATGAAAATGCATTATCCAAAAGTGTAGCCATATTACAAATATTACTTGAGTAAACTAAAATTAGCCACATAATACGAGGGGTATTTTTAAGTAAGGTCCGTTTGAACATAAGTACACAATGAAAGTTTATTTCAAAAAAGTAAATTTATTTTCAGAAAGTACACACTTCACTCTATTTTTCGACATAGTTGCCAAGTTTGTTCAAACACTTATCATACCTCCGAACCAATTTTAAAATACCCTCTTCATAAAAACTTGCCACCTGCTCCGATAACCAAATCGTCTGTAATCAAAGAAGGGCGACCGGAGCGTTCCTCATCATGGACGTTGTCACGGCCATCTTTGAATTGTCGTACCCACTTACGCACTTTGCTTTCACTCATAACAGTATCACCGTACACTTCACAAATCTGTCGATGAATTTCTGCAGCAGGCAGGTTCCTTGCTGACAAAAATCGTATCACTGAGCGAACCTCACATGCGGCGGGTGAGTTGATAGTCTTAAACATTTTTAAAGCACAGAACAGAACCGTACAGGTTAGCTACAGAGCGGAAACTGAGCACAGTTGTTCCCGAGGCATGCCGGTACACGACGCATGCGCTCGTTGCAGTATGCGCGCGAACTACTAGTGTCTACAACAAAATGGACCTTACTTAAAAAATACCCCTCGTATTTGCAATATTCTCTTTTTAAAGTGAACTTATATATTGCTGTATGGGGTGGTGCCTTTTCCAATTTTGCTTATGTTTTATGCCTGTCAAACCTTGATTCTCTAGTCAGGAAGAACAAAATGTTACAGTAAAAACATCTATAAATCTTTTTATATAGATTTCAACTGAGAACACTGCTTGGCTGATTACAACTTAAAATCTGCATATCTATTGTTTCCTTGGTATTGGCTCAACATCCTAAATATACTTTGTTGGACTATATAGCAATTTTGAAGTCTAACTCAACATTCAAAAGATTGTGATTTGGAAAAACACTTCTGTATTTGAAAAAACATTTAATATTATTTTTATATTTATTCTGTTTTTTTGGCTTTATTTATTTATTTACAGTATTATCATTCCGCCCATCTCACCCCAAAGGGGACTCAGGGCAGATCACAATGCAAACATACACGGCAAACATTTAATGCCATTTTTTAGACCTACAGGCAGACAGACAGAGGTATTCTTGGCATTTCCACTTTGGCGCCTGGAGGTTATGCTCTATTCTGGCCACAGGGAGTGCTGTCACTTCATCCACTATGACACCAAATCATGTTGATTGTTCAACCTTATCTCCTGTGCTATACTAATAATATAATATAATACATTGCACATATATTGTATTATATTATAATATGCTAAATATTATATGTGCAATATATTATATTATATTATTAGTATAGCAATACTATACAATATCAATATTATATAATACAATATCAATATTATATATTACTATATTGTACTATACCATTATATTGTAATATTATTAGGAATATTACATGCAATATAAACTATATAATTATAATATTGTAGTATTGTTATTAGTATTATATTGTATTATATTATAATATGCTAAATATTATAATATTAATAACAATACTACAATATTATAATTATATAGTTTATATTGCAAGTAATATTCCTAAAAATATTACAATATAATGGTATAGTACAATATAGTAATATATAATAATGATATTGTGCTATGCTAATAATATAATATATTGTATGTATATATATCTTGTAAGCCGCTCTGAGTCCCCTTTGGGGTGAGAAGGGCGGCATATAAATGTCGTACATAAATAAATAAAACTTGATATTTACATATTTTTGTCCACTGAATAAACAACAATGCCAGTTTGCCTAAAATAACTAGATCAGGGGTCCCCAAACTATGGGCGGGGAGCCGGATACGGCCCTCCAAGGTCATTTACCTGGCCCTCACTCAGGGTCAACTTAAGCCTGAAACAACTTGAAAGCATATAACAACAACAACAACAACAACAACAACAACAACCCTATCTCATCAGCCAAAAGCAGGCCCACAAATATAAACAAATAAGTTTATATTTCTTAAAATTGTTCTCCATTTTAATTTTTGTTTTGTTTTTACGTGTTTTTGCATTACAAATAAGATATGTGCAGTGTGCATAGGAATTCATTCAAATTTTTTTTTCAAATTATAATCCGGCCCTCCAACAGTTTGAGGGACTGTGACCTGGCCCTCTGTTTAAAAAGTTTGAGGACTCTTGAACTAGGCTGTCATTATATCAAGTTACTATGGTCATGTACGGTGGATAACAAGTGATGTCTGTTTCTGATTTGTGAGAGCTTTTCAAAAGGCTACCATTTTATGTTTTGTGCAATTTCAACAAAAGTTCACATTTATTTATTTATTTAAAACATTTATATTCCGCCCTTCTCACCCCGAAGGGGACTCAGGGCGGAGCACAGCATATATATGGCAACATTCAATGCAGGGACAAGAATTCATATGCGCATACATAAACATTAAAAACATTTATCTCAATATTAAAATACACCATTTAAAACAGTCCTGGTCATCAGCGTCAAATCTAATTGGCCTGGTAATCTTTCCTATTGCTGCTTTATTGCCCTGTCCTGAAAGCTTGGGGCAGGGTAATAAAGAAGTAATAGCGTTTATGTTGTAGTTCAGCATGATGGTAACATTACTACTACTGGTAGAAGGGAGAAGAGGTCTGCACAGGTGTTAGAGGAGAAGCAACAGCGAAAGCGGATTAGGGAGATAATCATGGCCCCAAGTGATTCTGAGATGTTTGAGGGCTTCTCCGATTGTGAAGTGGGGGATGGGGAGGAGAGCAGGGGAGCAAAGCGGGCTACTCGCGATCAAAAGTCCGACGAAGAGCTTCAGAAGAAGTGCATCCGGGAAATACTTAGCGCTCCTACAGAGGACGAGGATTTCATGGGGTTTGAAAGGAGTGATGGGTCTGGGAGTGATATGGAGGAGGAAGATGAGCTGGATTGGACCCGTGTTCAAGAGATTAGGGACATTTGTAACCAACCCACTTCCAGTGATGAATTTGAGGGGTTCACAGGGGATTGGCAACCGGGGAGCACTTGGCAAGACTTAAGTCTTGACAGACGCTCGCAGAGGTGGAGAGATGGGCGCTCGGGTTCAGCTGCGGGGATGGAGGCAGCTGAGAGTGATGAGGAAAGGGGAGCTCATCATCCTCTAATGAAGAGCTTTAGGATAAAAGTGGGTTTTGATTGTATGGCTCTTTGCAGAAGGCAAAGTGTCTCTTTTGGGATGTGAATCTTTGTTACTGCCAACTCTCGAGCTTGGGTCCTTGGACTACAGATTCCTGTGTTGCTGTGTCCCTGTGTTTACCTCAACTCAACGGCTTGACTTTGGACTGGTTTGACCAACGATTTTGCTATCTGGACTTTACAACCTATTAACTTCGTGTTTTGACCTTGCAACGTTTTTGGACTTCATTTTTTGCCTCATGTTATTGTGCTTTTGAACTGTGTGAATTTTGGAGCAGATTGCTGAACTTTTTAGTTAACCCGGATTAAACAGCGATATAATCCGGGTTATATTTTTGTTACCTGTATCTCTTTGTTTTTGATGCCAAATTGCTGCTAGAGCTTATTGCACTGAAGCGAAGTGCTTTTCAGACTTTCATTTGTACAATAAAACTGTGTTTGAACCTTTTCCTTTGTGTTTGGCTTACTGAGGCTTCTGGGTCTTGACAGTTTATACTTTTAAGTATGTCAAAATAACCAGACACTATTATATATTATAAGACGCAGGTTCGCAGCTTGGGAGTGATCCTGGACTCATCGCTGAGCCTGGAACCCCAGGTCTCGGTGGTGGCCGGGAGAGCTTTTGCACAACTAAAACTTGTGCGCCAGCTGCGCCCGTACCTTGGGAAGTCGGACTTGGCCACGGTGGTCCACGCTCTTGTTACATCCCGATTGGATTACTGCAACGCACTCTACGTGGGGTTGCCTTTGAAGACTGCTCGGAAACTCCAACTGGTCCAGCGGGAGGCAGCCAGATTGCTCACCGGAGCAACATACAGGGAGCACACCACCCCCTGTTGTGTCAGCTCCACTGGCTGCCGATCCAATTCCGAGCACAATTCAAAGTGCTGGTTTTGACCTACAAAACCCTATACGGTTCCGGCCCAGTGTATCTGTCCGAACGGATCTCCCTCTACGTCCCACCTCGGAACCTAAGATCCTCCGGGGAGGCCCTGCTCTCGACCCCGCCTTTATCACAAGTGAGATTGGCGGGGACGAGGAGCAGGGCCTTCTCGGTGGTGGCCCCCCACCTGTGGAACTCACTCCCCGGGGAGATTAGATCGGCAACGTCCCTTCTTTCATTTAGGAAAAAGTTGAAAACCTGGATATGGGACCAGGCATTTGGACATCCTGGCAGCTAAAGAAAGACCTGATGACGAGCTGGAATTTGACGAGATGGAACGGATTTACGAAACTCCGAACGCTGAGCTCAGGATTAGTCTACTACTGTGTTACTGTATTGTTGTGTAGTGATGTTTTTAATCTTTAATTTGTAATTGTTTAATTTGCTTATATATGTATGTATATGTGACAAAGGCATCGAATTGTGCCTTCCTCTGTAAGCCGCCCTGAGCCCCCCCCGGGGGTGAGAAGGGCGGGGTAAAAGTGACGGAAATAAATATAAGAAAAACTCTGATCGTATTTCAGATATGGAAATGCAAGCAATTGCTCACTCCAATCCATGCAAAAAGTACTATGTAAAAATAATTTTCTCACTTACAGGTGCACCTTGATCTCTAAACTGGTTATTGTGGAGCACTTCTTCTACATGCAAGCGTAATGCCTCTTCAAAGTCACCGTCTGGATTATCTTCTAAAAACTGAAAGAACAATATAATTAGACACTTTCAGGAAGCTCCCAAAACAAACCAAGAGAAAGAAAACTTACCCTGCTCAGTACTGCTTCCAGATCATGGGCTGCTTGAATCAGCCCTACCTCCAGAAGCTTCAGCTGGTTAAACAGCAAATGAATCACAGCGCGAGGACACGTCAGATGGCAGCAGTTCAGACAGGAACCTCGAATCAGAAGGAATAATTTCTTTAAAAGAGAATAATGAGTTGAATCACTACAATGTTGAATGTCTTTTTCGTACTTTGAAATGACATATGTTCACACAATTTATAAATACTAATGCTTTTACATTTGTGGAGCTTGTTTCCAAAAGATATCAACCTACCTGAACAAATTTTTCAGGAATTGAAAAAAAAACGATGCTGAGAGTATGCAATAGAAGTAATCTCAGTCATTCTCTGTTCATATTATCTTTTCAGGCCAAACATTATATTTACATGGGTCACAAAGATGCTGTGCTATTTCTTGGCAGTTCACCCATTTAAAATCTGGTCCT